TTCTTTTTAATTTTTGAACTATGTGAATGTGCTATCTATTGGAAAATAAAATCTTAAGGTCAAATTGAGAAAAGGAAGGAAACTAAAATCTTCCAGCACTTCTCAGTGTCAGGCCCTGAGCTGGACACTTAGATTGTACGTGATTTCCTGCGGTCCTGTAGGACAGCAGTATCCTCCCTCCTACAGCAGAGGCGCGGCGGGAGGGCAAGGAGTCTCAGCTGGCAGGAGACTGAACTGGGATCTGAAAGCCTCTCATTATGCTCCTACATCATTTCTAAAATGCTAAGACCTGCCTGCCTTTCATATTAAATTGTGCAACATTTCATCTCCAGAAATGTTAAAAAGAAAGATCTTCCTGTAAAATTAGCTTAGAAGAGGTCCGTATCAGCATGAAGTCAAGAGGCAGTGGCTTTGAAACCAAGACGACCCAGATCTGAGCCCACCACTCATAAACCCAGAGGACACAGTTCCTCTTCTGAAGGGGTTGTATGAGAATGAAGTGAGGCCGTACGAGGAAAGTGGTCATCACGGGGCCCAGCTCAAGTGAGGCAGTCGGGACGTGCTTTTCTAGCAGGGATCCTGGTCCACAACCTGCTTCCTTTAACTTCGTGAGAAAGTTATGAAAATGCTCATCTGTTAAAGCTGGTGCAGTGGCTCACACCTATAATCCTAGCACTCTGGGAAGCCAAAGTGGGAGGATCGCTTGAGGCCAGGAATTCAAGACCAGCCTGAGCAAGAGCAAGACCCCATCTCTACTAAAAATAGAAAAATTAGCCAGGCGTGGTGGCGCATGTGCCTGCAGTCCCAGCTACACGGGAGGCTGATGCAGGAGGATCGCTTGAGCCCAGGAGTTGGAGGTTGCAGTGAGCTCTGATGATGCCACGGCACTCTACCCAGGGTGACGGTGAGACTCAGTCTCAAAAAAAAAAAAAGGCTCATCTGTTACTGAGACTGTTACAGGAGATTGGGGCTGGCCAGGTGTCCCTTGGTGATGGGTTGTCCTTGAGAGTGAGCACTTTCCTACCCGATGCAAGTGATACTTAGTGGACCACGTCCTCCTGTCCTCGAGTTCCCAGTTAGGCTCTGGTCGGGAATTGGCTTTCACAATCCTGGCCCATTCACTGTGCCTGGCATCTGCAGCTCTCAGGACTCCTGTGGGCTAATGAGGCCACGGAATGTATTCTGTGGACAGATCCGTCTTATTACTCACTTATTTCTGGGTCAGAATCGTTTGAGCCCCAGGTGTCCTAGTTGGCCGGTGTAGGCTTGGCTTGGCATGATGAGTCCCTTGCTCCGGGGGGACCCTGAGTGAATCCCTCCTCCCCACAGGCTGCTTCCTGAACAGGCTAGAGAAGGTTGAACCAGATTACAGGGTCTCAGCCCAGCCAAGGAGATACCCCGCTGGCTCCCGTGCCCTGGGGTCTCTGCTAGCCTGCCTTGCTCCTGGACCACAGACTCCATGGAGGCCATGGCCCCGTTGTTCCTGAGAACAGGACGGTGGCTGATCGAACCAGCCCAAGGAATAAGCATCCCTCCCTCTGTGCTCTTCTGCTCAGGGAGACACAGGCTTCAGCCCCCGGGAGTCGCCAGGCATGGTCACTGATGTCCATGGGTTCAGCATCTCCTGCCATGCGTTGCATGCCAAGGCCCATTGCATAGCTGGTCCCCTCTGCCCTCCAGAGCTAAAGAGGCAGGAGGAGGGGCTTGTGCTTAGAGCCCGCAGCAGACTCAGTGGAGGCCTGGTGGCCTGCTCATGTCCCCCACCCCTCACTGCTGCTCACCCCCAGTGTGTGTCAGAATCACCCGATCACTTTCCAAACATCATGACCCCGGGCCTGGGCCTGCCCGCAGCTCACCAGGGACTCTGCAGCCAGGGAGAGCCGCTGCACCACATGCTTTGAGTACAGCCTCTTGTCTTGTTGGCCCCTGCACCCATAATACCTAGAAATTTGATAATTCCTTGTTAAACTGAGCTGAGATAAATGTCTACATGCAGCGGGTGCTGGCTGGCCATCCTGCAGGCCGAGCCAGGCACACAGGCAGGACTCTGTTCCCCCCTCGGCCCTGACGTCAGCCGGGTGATGAGGGCTCACTGGTGCACTGTTGGAGTCAGCACCAGCGTGTGCAGAGAAGGGCTGGGGGAGACTCCACAGCCCCCAGCCATGGGGACATGGCCACACTGTGCCTTCTGTTTCATCCTCAGACCTTGGGCCTTTCGCAGATATAAATATTAATCAGCTGGTGTCACTTAGCTGTGGCCTCGCCTTTGGGCCTGTCAGGTACACTGTGACAGGAATCTGATCCTTCATTCATCCCTCCCCTCCTCCCCTCCTCCCCTCCCTGTATCTATCTTCTCTCATTAATAGGGTTTTTGTTCTGGGAGCTTGGTGGAGTGGCTGAGTTTCCCCAACCGGAATTGAGCAACCTTTAGTGCATATGCAAATCCAGTGTTTGAAATTTCCGGTTCTCTGAGGCCTTCTCATTCTAGAGGGCAGCAGGCTGTCACTAGCTGAGTGTGGGTCCTGGCTTCACACCCACTCTGGCATGTGTGCCTGCACCCCAGGAACTGGCTGCTGCACTTCGAGAGTCACAAAGGAGGAAGCAGGTCCCTTGGCAGGAGAAAAAGGAAGGTTGTGTGGTGCAGATGCTCCCGCCAGCATTGCACCCAGCCAGCCCCCTGAACTCGGGCAGGGCCAAGAAGGGACCCAGCTAGGGTGGGGGAGGCTTTCCCCACCCTAGATGTGTTTTGACCCCCTGGACCTGGCTTTATTAAGTGTCAGTGAGTTACACTCACGTAGAGCTCGCCCTCGGGTGCCACAGACAACTCCCCTGGCCCCCAGCAGGACCATGGGAGACTCCGGCCACAGTAGGCCTGCGTCAGGCGTACCTCTCCCCTGCATGTCGCATCTCGCGGGAGGGCAGGCCTGGCAGCTGTCACGGGGCACCATCAAACCCTTTTGCTTCCGAGGTCTCTTCCCGGGTAATGGCTCTGCCCTCAGTGCCCCCGGCTGGCTGCAGGAGCCTCCTCACTGCTCGCAGTGTCCACACTTGTGTCCCGTCCATTTTCCAGAGACATCCTGTTATAAAGAAATCTGATCGTGTCCCAGTCTCGCAGCCTTCTGGTGGCTTCCCAGGAAATCCCAAGTCCTTGCCGGGATCTGCCGACCCTTCCAGCCCCTCCGGGCAGGTTCACACCGACCGGCTGCCTTCCCAGTCACATGGCCTGTCCCCTCTCCTCAGGTCCCTGCTCAGAAGCCCTCCCTGTCACTGTGGGTCCCCGAGTGGCTCACAGGCTCCCAGGGCAGCCCTGATGCGGGTTTGGTTTGTGCTGTGTCTCCAGCCTCTAAAACCACACCTGGCAGGTGGTAGGTGCCCCACAAAGGCTTATCAAGTTAACGCATGAATACCGAGTCCTTCCTCCTACCCAGTGACAAGGGAATGCATGTGTCCCAGATAGATGTTTGGTTCTTGGAGCGTGCAAGAGTCGGTTTTGCCTTTGTTAGGTTCTGCGGCTTTTACCCATCATGCCATTCCTGAGAGAAACCTGACTTCTTTTTCAATCCTAAGAATGACTAGCCCTGACTTCTCATGTATTGTGCAGGTGGCAGATGGTGGCCGTGACTCAGGGCTGTCTGAATGGCCCCAGGCTCGTGGCCTCCTGACGTGACTCCACCCAGTCGACGTTCCCACCTGGAGTCTGGGCTTCACCCCGCTCTGGGGAAGGTCTGCTCAGGGGTGGGTTGTTCCCGCAAAAGCGAGAGCGCTAGTAATTTCAAGTGCCAATTCTTAGAAAGGTGTCAGGTTTTCCTACAGAATCACAGCTTTTCTCCATATTGGCTTCATTCTGTGCCTTATGAGAAACCTATTTTCTCTGCAGTTATTTTCATCATATTATTAACCAATTGACTTTTTTCAAGGTTTTGAATTAGAGTGCTTTGCAATTTTATGAGGACGATATAGAAAATTCCATGACAAGAACAGCAGATGCTTTCTTTCCTGCAGGGCTCGGGGTTGCGGGGCTGCAGGTAGCCTGATTCATTAACGCAAGACCTCAGGGTTGGGGGTGGTGGGGACACAGACTCGAGCATGTGACTCAGGCACAGACAGCCCCCACCAGACATTTCCGAAGCCTCTGTTTCCCCATCTTTGCCAAGGTGTGACCCGCCCTTGCTCTGAACCCCGGGAGGACACCAGGTGAAATCATGCTTGGAAATGCTTAGACAGCCGCCCTAGCCAAGGTGCCGCTGCTGGTGCCAGCTGATTTGCCTTCCAGGGGCCTTGCCCCCATCGAGCCTCTCGGTGACTTCTCGCAACAGCGCTCATTATCCCCATTTAGAGGAGTTGCCGCAGCCACACCCTAGTCAGTGACAGAACCAGGATCTGACCCGAGCCCCCCGACTCCAGAGACCCTGCTCCTAACCAGCAGCTCAGACACCAGCCACAGGGGTGGGGGAGATTTAAATTAAAACCAGATCAACTCAGTTCCTCCGTCGCAGTAGCCACACCAAGTGGGCAGTGGTCACACGTGGCTAGTGGCTGCCGTCACCACGATACTGCCTGTGTCCATCATCACAGGAAGTTCTACGGGCAGCCGTGCTCCAGGCTGTGCCCTCCCAGTGCTCCCTGTGACTTGTTAGAGAAGTTTGGGCACAGCTCAAGCAGGCTGATGGCTGTAAGGATTGTCACTTGCTGTGCTTGCTTGCTTTGTAGAAAAATAAGCCTTAGATCTTTGCAAGAATGTCGTGATTTCTTTCATAGGCATAATTACATGTTCCCAGTCAAATTGCAGTTCAAGAGAAGGTTATAAATCCCTTCTCAATAGTAACCGTAGTCATGTTGTTCCTCTCCTGGAAACCAAGAGAAAGGTAACTGAAGACATTCTCCTGGCCCAGTAAAATCTCAAGTTCCTCATTTCTCTGGCAGCCTCAGGCCCCTGGTCGCAGCAGCAAGGGCCAGGACTGACGAGGCGAAGGCTTCATCTGTGCTTCATGTGTTTGCAGGGCGGCAACGACCACGAGATCTTCACAGACCCGAGAACCGTGGGCTTCGCCGTGACGGCGCCCGAGGACACGCGCAGGATCTGTGAGGAGCTGTTCTCCTGATGGGGGAGGGAGGGGTCCTGGCTCGCGGCCCGAAAGGGTCATTTGGGAGCTGAAGCCCGGGGCCCTCCCACACGTGCACACGCCTTCAGCCCCAGCCACCTGGTCACACGGGGTCTGGACCTCTAGCGCCTCAGGGAAATCGCCCTCCTCCCCCATGGCAGGAGCAGCCAGAAGGGAGGAGAAGAGACTCTTGGGGAATGGCTCAAGGACTAACGCCAGCACAAGAGTCATCCCCCACTCCCCAGTGCAAGACCCCAACTTCCCCGCCATTCTAGGGAGATGCAGGAGGAATGTGCCTGGACCCTCCCTCTTTACAGTCCTCGTGAAGAGGTAAGGGGGGCGGTTAACGTTTGGACCCCTGTGTCAGCACCAAAAAGGAGGATCTGGTGGTGAGAAAGGAAGGACAGGGCATCTGCAGTGACCCAAGTTAGAAACGCTAACTGAAACGAAGCTCCCTCCGTGTGGCTGGACAGGGCCTCGGCCGTGGGGCAGCGTGGAGCTGGGACCGTGTGCACCGTCTGCCCAGCCCCTTCCTGTTGTCGAGGCCGACGCCTTCCCGGCCATCAGGCCAGCTCCGTATTCACTGCACCTCGAGTGGCCTGGCTGCTGTCCTGTAACTGTCAAGAAGGGTGGAAATCAGAACCAGCGACCCGTGGAGAACTGGCGCTGGCAGAACGGTTGGTTCAGAGAAGCCAACTTGGGAGGCCGGACTTCAACAAAAGGACCTTCTCGTTGGACCTGGCCAGGCTTCCCAGAGGCGCTGGCCCTGGTGTCTCAGGGACGGGGAGAGCCTGGCTGGGGAACAGGATCGGGAGCTGCGTGTCTCTGTAAGCGCGTCCACCCACCCGGACCCTCACCCAGACTTGGACCGGCAGCTGGGCCTGTACCCCTCACGCCCCCCTTCCACGCTCTGCAAGTCCTTCAGGAAACCGAAGGAAGTTCACGGGCCTTGTCCAGAACACAGTGAAGAGAGCTGTCCAAGGAAACGGTTCACATGCTGCTTTCCAGGGTGTGGAAACCCTGGGGCCCCTGCACCCTCCGCAGCCTGGTGCCAGGGTGGCCTGGCCTCCACTGGGTGCTGACGACCTGAGCCCGCTACTCCACACCTCCCGCCGCCAGCCCGCAGCTGGGTCCCTCCAAACCGCGCGTCCACTCCGGACTGTCTGAGCTCACTCGGGGACAGGCAGGGAGAAAGCAAGAAGCTCCTCATCTCGGTGATCCCTAAGACGGGGCCGTCCGGTGGCATCTTCCCTTGTTGAATGTTGCAAATGATACTGTAACGACCTTTCCAGATGAAAGGTAGCACATTAAAGATATTTTATTTCCTATTTCTAATTGATTACTTTTTTCTCCTTTGATTGGCAAGTGAGTGGTCAAGCGAGAGATTTGCAATTGTATCTTCTTAGGTTCTGGAAGGAAACCCCAGCCCTTCCAGATCTGAGAGCCCCCCCCCCCTTCTTGCTCTGGTATTTCTGTAACGCCGGGAGCCCCTCACTCTGTCCACCTTTCACGTTTCTGTTCCTGACACATGCACTCCCCCTCCCCTGCTTTTCTGCCTGAATTCCCTAAATCTTTCCTTATTGTGTCAAAGCAAGACAACTGAGTCATGCTCAACTGAATCTTAACCTTCCCTGTAACTCACTGCCTGAGGCTGCCAGCTGGGCCACCGTCCTCCCCCAGTTCCCACAGTGGCTGTTTCAGACCCTGCCAGACCCCTCGAGCCCATCTCACCCTTCCCCGCGCCCTCCCTCTGCACTGTCAGAATTTCCTCCCCGTTTCTGGCCCTGAACCAAAGCCAGCAGTTTGCTGAAGCTGTTGGTTTCAAGCGGGAGCCTAAAGAATTCTCTATGGTCTGCTGGCCATTTCAGAACTTTGGAAGTGTAATGGTCAATTCATCAGAAAGAAACATCTGAGTCATTTTAAAAAAGGAAAAAAAGAATTTCCTCCACCTGCTCTGTCATGTCATCCCATTGCCACAGTCCAGCTTCGGAGGCACCGTGCTGGTTACATAAGGCAATAATGGCTCGACGACACGCACGCAGCCCTTACCAGGGTGGCAGGTGCTAAGAGCCGGTGGCCACGGCTCAAAGCCTAGTTCTGCTGCCAAGTGGCTGTGTGACCCGGGCTTCAGTTTGCTCATCTGTCAAATGGGATGGTCCTTACCACATAGGGAATTAAACAAGTTAATTTCTGTAAAGCACTTTGAACAGCCTGTGTGAACCACCTGACCGCCACCCAGAGGTACAGTCACTCCCTCTGCCTCAGGGAGTTGGCAGGATGAAGACACCGTCCCAGGAAATCTAAATGCAGCAGGTAAGTGCAGAGCCTCAGCAGAGCACAGAGGCTGCGCCCAGGCCGGCCTGGCACTGTCAAGAGAGCTGCCACCCCACCCAGGCACTAAGGAAGCTAACCCTGGGCTCGAGGCCACCCAGGGTTTAAGAAGCCTCGGAGGGGAAAGGCTGAGGTTGAACCTGAGCAGCTGGTGAGTGGCGGGCAGGGGCCGGCCAGGGCACCTTGCAGGCCCAGCAAGGAGCTTGCACCTGGTCTGGAGGGCGGGGCGGGAGACTTGTGACCTGAGGACACTTGGGAAGGTCTCTCCAGCCGCTGCGTGGGGAGTGAGCAGAGGGGCCGTGAGGGGAACGAGTTCGGCAGATGTTGCCATAACCCAGGCGTAATCCAGGTGTGTGTGGCTTTGAATCACTTCCTCTTTCCTCTTCTTCCTCCTCACCCCTGGATCCCGGCCCCACCTGGCCACCTCAGCCCAGGCAGGGCGCCTCCCACCCCCACCCCAAGGAGAGGCAGCCAGGCCTCCAGGCTGCCTCCCACCCCCTCCCTGCCCTCCACAGCACCCCAAAGTCAAGTTCTAGAACTCATTCCGCCTTCACCAAGGCTGGTTCCCCAAAGGTTCCCGGCCGCCTTCAGTTTGCGCCACGCCCTTGCTCATGCCACCTGCGCAGCACTCGGGGTAGCAAGTCAGCAAATCTCATTGTTTCCAGCGAAACGCCTGGCCTGTCCCTAAACGGGCTGGATGGGCTGGTTCCAATTTTTCCCCAGGCACTCTCAAAATCATTACATTAACAATACATGCGTCCATCTCTGCAGCACCAAAAGTCACTACCTTCCTTGGGAAACGCTGGCCAGGGCAAAGCCGTCCCAGCAGGTCACAAAGGCCCCCCCAGAGCAGCCCCTGCACTGCCCCGCTGCCCTTACTGCCGTCCTGGACGCCTCCCAACCGCCTGGCCCCTGGCTCCTGCTGCTCCATCAGCCCACTGTCCCTACCCCAAGAGCTGGCGAGCACCGCTGCTGTGGCACTTAGAAGAGACATCCATCTTGGCACTCTCCTGCCAGCCCCTGGACCCTGGGGTGGGGGCAGCCTCACCTGAGTGCCTGAGAGCAGCGCCCTCATCTACCGCCTGGGCAGGAACGGCCTCGGAGACCCTCCCCTCCCACGCTCCTGCCACATCTGAACGCTTCGACAGGGCACTTAGTCACCGCTGACCAAGTAAATGCCACGCAGCCACGTTCTACTGCTAAACTTTCCTACTCTAGAGAATGATGATTAAGGAAAAAATGATCCCATCTTCTTATTCACTGCCCCCCCCACCAAATAAAACCAGACTGCAAAGTGCAATGTGTCAGCCTCGTCTGGAGGAGACACCATCACCTGCTGGCTTGAAGGAGACGCTCCTGGGCGAGCCAGCCCCCACAGCAGCACACACGACCTTGCACAAAACCAAACTTTATTGAGAGAAAGGTGGCTGGCGGGAGGAAAGACCCGGATTTGGGAATGCTGGATTCTACTTCCAGCTTGGTCACCAACACCCTATGTCCCTCCCAGAGCCTCAAGGAGTTTCCCCATCTGTCAGTGCAGAGTCCGTGTCCCCTTCCGGCTCTGACACCTTGTAGTTCTAGAATACTCATCGATTGGAAAAGATGTGGCCACACAGCGAGGACAGAGCAAGAGCCGTTTACAAAGGGTTCTGCCCAGCGAGAGAATCCAAAGGTCACCTCTGAACAGCAGAGTGCAGCTCCCAAGCTCGCCGTGGGCCAGAGCCTGCTGGGGCGCCGGCACGTGGGGTCACCGCAAGCTCTGACGGCGCCAAGACCAGGACAAAGCCCTAGAGACTAGGGGAGCGAGACAAGGTTCTCAGCCTCAGGGAGAACTCCTGGCAGAAGTGGCTTTGGAAGTGTGGTCTGTACCCAACAGAGAGGCCCCCGGGGAGCCACCTGGGGAACAAGCCAAGGCTGGAGGGAAAAAGGCCACCTTTGACCCAGCCAAGGTGGAGTCGCACGGGGAGGGAGGACTCCAAGGTGCACTACAGGCCAGGAAAAGTGATCGCGCTACTCAACTGCACAGGCAGCCTGTGTGCCGCTTGTGCGTTTCGGTGCACACGCGCAACCAACACACTTACTTGCCTGTTTTGAACCGCCTCCCTTCCTCCACCCGCTTCCAAAGGAAGCAGTTCTTGGGCGGAAGGACGAGCACATCCACAGCGTTAAGACCCGACGAAGCCATCGGTGCCCGCTGTTCTCTGCCCAAAAGCCACCACTTCAAAAGGTTTGCCGCCTGCGTTGATGAGCAGATTCTTGACTACATATAGGCCATGTGTTTCAAAACATATTACCCAGCAATTTCTACTTTTAAATCACAACTGAAGCCAAACCAAAACCCACAGCAAAGAACATCCTAAGGATCTGTTGATTGGCAATACCTACAAAGTTTGCAATGTCAGCAGCAAAGCGCACACAGAGCTGGTTCTGGGCGAGAGCTTTACCGTTATCAAAAACAAGGAAAAGAAATCCCTAAGCATTTCTTAACAGCAGTTTTAAAGAAAACCCCCTCACCAAGGGTGTATTTCTCCTTCAGCGTTTGACTTTACCAAAAGGCTACCTACTCTCTACCGGATGGAGCCAGAGAAATTTGTTTTTAAACAAAGACCCTCCCCTCTCCACGAGCCCTTCTGCTACCGACGCCCGTCACCCCCCAACCACCACCTTCATGACAAAGGCTGTGAAATGGCTGCGGGGTGGTCACTCGACCAGCAGGCAGAGGGACAGATCTGGCTGTACGAGTTGGGGTTCAGCCTCCCAGAACCCCAGACCACAACGCCCAGGGGTCAGGGCTCCCAGGCAACGTGTCTTCCCCAGACAGGCAAAGGGACCAAAAGGGAAAATCCCCCCAATCCAAAGACCACCCCCCATCTCTCTTGAAGCCAGCTCCCCTAGAACTAATCGAGAATGAGAAGACTGCTCGGGCCAGGTGGCAGGACAGACACCAGAGGGGCACTCGGGTGGAAATCCACCCTGGGGAAGTCAGGCAGGAGCCATGTCATCCCCAGGGGCCAGATCTGGGGATTTGGCGTCTCCAACTCCAGCGGGAAGAGGGACTCTGCAGGCTCCCCCGGGCGGCTCGGGGAAACACCACCTCCCACCCACACCCTGGCTGCGCTGGGCCCCTCCACTCAGCCACCAGCGGGCGCCTCTCCTTTTAAAATGCTTTTAATGCTTTTCAGATGGTGAGAAGTTGTTGTGATGGTCAGAGGCTGTGCTGGTGGCCGAGAGCACCCCCGTGCCTGCCCCCCCTTTCTCTAGGAGGTACTTGAAAGTGACCGTGCCCCCCCCTTGAAGCCCCATCTCGTGTGCTAGAATGTCATCTCCAGTGTGGTCCTGCCTCCTCCTCCCCCCAAAGTCTCCCCCAAGCCCAGGAGAAGGGGTGCTTCCAGTGTCCCCTAGGAGCTGATGACGTGTCCGGACCAGGTCTCGTGCTTCGTGCCCGGCGCCAGGTGGGTGATGACTACCTCCACGGCCTGCAGCTTCTCGTTCTTGGGCGGGATGGAGCACATCTTAAAGGTGACCTCGTCGCCTTCCACCGGGACATACTCCCCTTCCACGCTACAGGAATACAAAGAAAGCAGTCAGCGCCCACACCCCAGACGCCAGCACCCTTCTGGTCAGAGGGCCACCAGAGCACACCCGTCTCACTGACCACCTGGAACTGCCCTCCTGCCCTTCCACCAGAGGGAGCCACCACACTGCCCCGTGTCCTGGCCAAGGAGCCCGGGACCCAATCCGCTCCTCCCCTGGGACTTTTGATGCTGGGACTGCAAGACAGAGGTCGGCCACCTATGGGTGGTCATGCTGTGACAATGAACGTGACAGCCTGCACGTGTGGACTGAAGAGCAAAGACGGCCAGTCTGAGCCAGAGAGACGAGGCCGTCTCTCACATGGAGTTGAGAGATGGCCCGCGCAAAACTGAGCTGTGTCTGCTCTCAAATCCGCCAGATACCCGGTGAGCCTTCAACAAAGTCCCTTTTGTGCTTAAAGCTAGTTCTCCTGGGGGGTCCTCTCTCTTTTGAGCACCCCCAGAAAGGTTCCCTTACTTTGTAGGGGACACGAGTCACTATTTCACAGTGACATTGGCATCTTGATGTTCCCTTGGTGAGACCCCAGGAGGAAATTCCCGTTCAGACCCTGAAGGCCAGGGCTAGCCAGCTCCCCCAGAACTGGCTTGATTGGAGAATCATTCAGCGAACAGCGTTTCCCTCTTTGATGTGGTCACCAGGAAGCTCAGGCATCAATTCGCAGCCCACTTCTAGCAGCGAATCATCACAGACATCACGGTGTCTCCATCTTCCTTATTTGCCCCCATGCTTCCCTTACGAACTTCCTGTAAACCACTACGAATTCTTTCTGGAAGGAGGCTGTGTGGAAATACACTCACACACCCACGTACGCGTTCACACGCGCACACGACACATCGCTGTGGCATCTCTCTCGTGCCTGCGCTGCGCAGGGGCCTCTGGCAGATCTGGTGAGTGAGGATGTGGGGGAAAGAGCAGCGCAGCCGACGCTGTGCAACAGGTTCCAACTTTCACAAACGTGGTGTCTGTTTGCCAGGTCTGCGTGCAGAGCAGGAACTGCCCACCACTGCCTCCAGCGAAAGACGGGGGGTGCTCAGGCCAAAGAAGGGGGTGGGGGGGAAGGGTGCCAGACTAAGGGTCCTCGCATCCCTAAAGGCTGCCCAGAAGCTCGAAGGTGAAGCTTCGAGGCCTGGGATGTGAGGGCCCCGCCCGGGGCTCCCCAAGAGCTTCCAGACACTCAGAAAGGAAGGTCGTCAATGAGCGAGTGGCAGGAGAAGGGGTCCCACCCCGAACTTCCTTCGTGGAGCAAAGGCACTGGGCAGCCCCCAGCCTCACCAGGCGCTCACCCCAAAGCAGGGCAGGAAACCAGGCCCCAGGCCAAACGTGGCTCCCCCAACTCACAGGGGCGTCTTTCCCACTGGCCAGATACACGTGGGCGCTCAGACTCACCCCAGCAGTGCTCGACTCTCACGCACTCACACACACGACGCACAGCTGCCACCTCCCTGTCCCCCACAAGCACGGCCAGACATCACTAGGCATCCGTGGTGAAGCGCACATACACACACACACACACAGACACACACACACACACACACACACACAAAACCTGACAACCATTCCCAAAGACACTCAATCGCAATCACACGTGGAGTGTCGCCTGCAGCCTCACACACCCCAACACATCCAGGTACAGTCTCACCCCCCCACAACCACAAATGCTCATACCCAGTGCCCGTCACAGGCACACACTGTCCCCAGCTCCACGGGGCCAGGGCAGCACCCACCCCCGCCAGACTGCCCAGACCTGCCACTGACTCACTCGGAGATGTGCAGGAAGATGTCGGGGCCGCCATCAGCTGGGGTAATGAAGCCGTGGCCCTTGGATCGGCAGAAGCATTTGCAGACTCCTTTGTAGACAGGGCCCTGTGAAGCCCGCACCGTCCTGGCAGAGAGGGGGAAGCGTGAGGGGCCCCCATCAGCCCTCCAGGACAGCCACCCGCTCTTCTGGGGCACACCCAACTCATCCTAGCTCCTGCCCACAGCCGTGCCTCGGGGAGTCCCGGCCAGGGTCACCACGTACAGCCATACAGGTTGTGCACTGCACAACTCTGGGAGCCATTCACACAGCCTCTGGTAAGAATGACTCTCTAGAGGACCCTGGCAAATTTTCTCAGGTCTGTTTCCCCACTTGGAAATAGGGAGTTAAACTAAAAGATCTCTGAGCATCCTTCCAGAGACGAATTGATTTTTGGGGGTTCTTTTTGTTTTTTTGAGACAGAGTCTTGCTCTGTTGCCCAGGCTAGAGTGCAGTGGTGTCACCATAGCTCACTGCAACCCCAAACTCCTGAGCTCAAGCGATCCTCCTGCCTCGGCCTCCCAGATGCTAGGATTACAGGCGTGAGCCCTGGTGCCCAGCCCTAGAGACTGTCAATTATTAATAACAGCTGCAGCCTCCACTCACTGGGAATGAGATCTGTACCGTGTGGGTCCTTTGCAGCCCGGTGGCCACCCTGATCCCGTCCCGGTTTTACAGCTGAGGAAACCAGGGTCTCACGGCAGAAGAGGCTCATGTGTGGTCAAAGCCTGAGGATTTCGAGACTCCAGCCATTTCCCACTCACTGCCACTCCCGGCTGGGACAGGCTCTCGTGGGCGGGACAGCACCCTCGGAGCTTAGAAGGCGCCCTCCTGGTTTCTCACCACCAGCCTCACCCCAGGCCCAAGTCTCCCTATGAGCCAGCCATGGACACGGAACCAGAGACGGTGAGAGACACAGCGAATCTCTGGCCTCAGGCAGGCGACCATCTCAGCAGCGTCCCCCGCCAGCCCCAGACTCACGCTGAGAAGGTCCTTGTCCGGCGAGTGGGCAGCGGACTCGGGACGATGTTGCCCCGCAGAGGGGACTGCGAGCGCTCGTGGGTCTGAGGGGTGTCCAGCAGCCCAACGGAAGCCTCCTGGGTGGGGGGCTGCGGCGGCGGGGGAGGCTCAGATGACATGGCTGACCTGGAGAGAGACGGGGGGCTCTCAGGGGCTCCCACCTTGCAAGGCAGGGGCCCGATGCGTCTGGAAGTCCAGGTCTGAGTCCTCCACCCGGGACACATTCCTCGAGACGACCTCATCGAGGAGGTCACCTCGTCCGGGAACACGCCCGGCCGGGTCGGGTGCCTTCTCTGGGCACCTGCAGCAGCCGTGGGTCTCCCTGATCACAGCTCTGCACGAAAATGCCAAGTCATCCCTGACCAGGACGGCACAGGTCCCCTCTGTGTCCCCAGCGCAAGGCGCAGACCCTGGCACGCTCAGGACAGTTGGTGAACGCTGGTGAGAGGGAGGGGGCGGGCCAGGGCAGCAGGCAGAGGCGTCAGCACCTGTACCCAGCCCCCAGCCCCCCACACACACTCCCCGGCCCTGCGTGGGCCAGACACGACGCGGAGGACGGGGTGGGGGGGCAAAAACACGACCCACACACAGCATCTACCTCCAGGAAACTCCGTAACACACACCAAAAAGAGCTCCTCTCCCCAGTCTGCATCCCCAAAGGGCCGTCACAAGCCTTTCTCTGGCGGGCCAGCCCGAAGGACCCAAAGGAAGGGGAGTTGAGGGAGGCAGTCGCCAGGCCCTGGAAGTGAATTTCCACCCTGCCTGGCTCACTGGTCATTGTTATGAAATCAGATTCCCTCGGTGACCCTAGCGGTGACCCCTAGCTCGCACCAGAACGCGGAGACCCAGGGCTGCAGGGAGGGCTCCCCAGCCGCTGCCTGCTTTCTGCTGCCTGCTTTCGGCAGCTCTGCAAGAGCAGGACACTGCGCTGTTCACACCCAACACCCAACACCCAGCGTGGAACGGGAAGGTGTCAGCGCTAACGCAGCTGCCGCAAGGTCTGGGGAAAGAGCAACAGCCCGAGGCGAAGGCCCTCAGGCAAGTCCTGTCCCTCTCTGGGCTCAGTTTCCGCATCTGCAAAGTGGGGCGGCTGGGTGGGCGATGGGGGCCGAGGAGGAGGCTCTGCCGGCTGGGCCAGGGAGGGGCCTGGACTCAGGAGGTCACTCAAGTTCACACAGCCAGGGGGACAGATGCGGCTTGGGGTGGGGGTGCTGATCCGGCTCCCCTGGGGCTGTCAAAGTCAAACTATGAACCATCTTTTAAACATCCCAGGAATTCGCCTCGAAATCTAGGTTTCCAGCTATTCTTGAACTGGAAGCTCTGGCATCCCTGAACCCCCCACTGCTCCCCCATCCCCTCATTTCTAGGCGTCTCCCACCTCTAGCACCCTGCAGGGCCGCCTGTGCCTCCAACCCCGACCACCCAGGAACAGGCCCGACGCCTCCTCCAGAAGGACAAAACCTCTCCCTCCACGTCTCCCCACACTCCCCTGTCAGGACTCGGTTCCGTCCGGCTGGGAAGGGAGGTGACCGGCTGGCCTTCTGGAGGAAGTGACATAGCTACCTCCCGATCCTTGTCTTGGCTGCAGCACGGCCAAGGAGGACCGCGAGGCCAGGGAGCCCCCAGCTCATAAAGGCCCTGACTGCTCTCCTGGGGCCAGGGCTCCAGCGTTACCCACCAGCACAGGTCATAGAGTCCTAGAATGTTCCAAGGACCGGGGTTCTGGGAAGGCGGCTGGCCCAGACAGGGAAGGGCCCCGCCCAGTCCTCTCGGAACAGCAGGTGGGACCACGGTGGCCTGGTGACAACAGGGTAAGACAGGGCACTGCCCTCTCCTCTTCTACATGAGTCCCCTTCCCTCTTTTCTCCTGGAGTCAGGCACATCTGACTTCAAATCCCACCACCTGGCAGCTGTGTGATCTTGGGCAAGTTATTTAACCTCTCTGGGCCTCGGTTCTGCATGTGGAAAATAGGAATTTTAACAGTCCCCAGTTCGCAGTATCATCATGAAGTTGAAAGGAAATAATACACACGGAGCCCTGGGCACACCATCCGCCCAGGGTTTCCTGCCCTGCTTTGGGGGAGTGCCTGTCGGCTATGATTGTTGTTATAATTGTCATCATAAAGTCACTCAACAGGTATGTGCCCAGTACCAGGCCCTCGCAGAGCTGAGCTTGGAACCAGAGAATAAACAGGTAAATAAACATATAAAGAAGATCATTACAGGCCAGGTGTGATGGCACGTGCCTGTGGTCCCAGCTACTCAGGAGGTTGAGGTGGGAGGATCACTGGAGCCCAGGAGTTCCAGGGCAATGACCACACCACTACACTCCAACCTGGGCGACAAAGCGAGACCCTGCCTCAATAAAAAAGAAAAAAAGATCATTCCAGATTGCCAAAATGGCCTTTAAGAAATGGACAGAGGAGAAAAGTAGCAGGGTGGGGTGCTGCTCCAACGAAGGTGCCGGCTGGGCCCTGAACAATGAGAAAGAGTCAACCACTTGAAAAGTAGAGGGGGGTTATGCAAAGGCCCTGGGGTTGGCTGGCAAGGAGATTGTGTGTGTGGGAGGGGACAGAGGGCTGAGAGGCAGAAGATGAGGTGGGAAGGAGGCAGCTCAAGAACTATGCATCATCATCATCATCATCATCATCATCATCGCCATCATGTGTGTCTTTCTTTTCTCTCATCCATTTGCCTCCCTGTCTGTCCGCACACCCCTGACTGTACCCACCTCCCCTGGGTTCACGAGGCAGGCTCAAAATGGGGAACCCCTTCTTCCTCCACTCCAGCACCTCAACTCACCACATACACCCAGTCCCTCAGAGATGCCAAGGGAAGCCCATGGCCTTCGGGGTGAGTAGCCCGAGGGCAGCATGGGGTCCCTCTATGTCCCAAGGGCCCAGCACAGGGGCTGGCACAGAGCAGGGTCTCAGGGAGGTCCAGGGAACGACCCAAAGGCTCCTTCTTAACCAGCATTAGAGCCCAGAGCCTTGGCTGTCGTCCGCCATGCACTTGGTATATGCTAAGCACCTTGCGCAGTGCAGCAGGAGATGGCTACACTCATGCTCACCAGACGGTGGAGGAAACTGAGGCACAGAGAACACAAGTGACTGGGGACAGGAGTGGTGCCACCTGGGAGACCCAGGAGCCTTAACCACCACCCAGCCAGCCTCCCATGGCCACCTGGGCTGGGGAGCAGCTGGGGCAGCCAGAGCAGGCCTGGCTGAGGGCCAGCCCCGTCCCCAGCAGGCCGTGCAGAGTGGAGCAGTGAAGGGCCTCGGCGTGGGGGAGGGCTGGGTCAGAGTCCAGCTGTTGAGGAAACAGCTGGGGGTCGGTGGCCAGGCACCCAGTAGCTGGCTCTGAGCCCCACCGCGTCTCCCCCACCCCACACACACAAGGATGGGGCACATAGCAGCCCCAGACCCACCCGCCAGCACGGGCCCAGCCCCAGCTAGAGATGGCTCCTAGCAACGCTAGGCATGGCCCTGGAGTGTTCCCTGGAGAAGGCAGGGCCCACCCTGTGACCAGCCTTCAACTCCGGACGGCTGGGGGAGGGGAAGGGTTGCACGCAGAAGCTTAGGCTGTCAGGAGGCTCTGGCCCGCAGCCAACTCAGACCAAATGTCACGCCCAAGGCAGCACGTCACGATGGCTGGGTTGTGTGTGCACATGCATATAGATGTGTGTATGCACACGTGTGTACATGTGTGGGGTGTCTGTGTACGCATCACTGTAGCGCACATCTGTATGTGCACGTGTATGCAGGCGTGTGCTCCTCTGTGTATGTGTGTGCGAGGCATGTCTGTGAGTGCATCTGAAGCCACACACGTGTATGTGGCTGCTGTCGGTGCATGCACACACCTGCGGACGGGGTGGGGGGGGACCATGCTGGGTGCCAGTGGCTGGGGGCCTGCATTGGCACCAGAGGACCCTGACAAAGGCAGCCTCCTGTTCCCAGAGCCAGACTGCACACATCTGGGCTCCTTTCATCCCCATTTCACTGATGGGAAAACCAAGACACAAAGTGTCAAGTACCTTGCCCGGGGTCACCCAGCTAATAAAAAAACTGGCGAAATACTCTGAGTGTCAGACAGTGGAAATGCCAGGGGGGAAAAGCTAGTGAGGACAGGGACGGGGCGGGGCTGCACATACAAATCAGGTGGCCCTAGAAGGTGAGTAGCTGGCCATGTGCATCCCACCAACGCCTACCCTCGCCCTTCTGCTGAGTGCCAGGCCAAGGGAGGGGGTCCAGGACAGGGAAGGCAGGGAGCCACTCCCACCCTGACTGCCCCCGGGACAGGTGTGTCAACAGGGCCTTCAGCCTAAGAACTGGCGGGCGATGGGGGCCTCAGCCCCAAACAGCCTGGGAATGTTCCACAGCTCTGCAGCTCCTGGAAGGTTCCGGGAGTTCAGCAGGCACGAGGCTATGGCTTTGCCACCCCTCCTCAGCTCACCCCCTATCTGGGGACTTAGCACCCATTGTGCAGAGTCCCTGCACCAACCTCCAGGGACCCCTCTGTCCAGGTTCAGCTGACCACTGCGCCCTGCGAGCCCACCAGCACCAAAGGTGTCTCCCCTAAGCCACAGCCAGGTGCTCACTCCAAGGGGGGCGCTTTAGCAGCGCCATCGCCATGGGCCATTACACACCTTAGCAACAGGGAGTTCATTTCAGGAGGCTCATACTTGGCAGCTTCAGACCCTTCCTTGAAGGTTTGGCGGGGCACAAAATGGGGGTGTCTTGAACCCTCGATGGGTTTCTGGCTGGGGAAGGCCAGGGAGGTGTGGCCTCTACTCACCTGATACCCACCGCCCACGGGTGTCTGTGTTGGGCTCTGCCAGGCAGGCACTTAGGCCTCGTGTCAACCCCCAGGAGGCAGTATCACCCCCATTCTACACGTGCAGAAACTACGGCACACTACGGCACGGAGAGGTTTAAACCAACACTTCGGAGTCTTTAGCGGGTCAGGAATCTCTGAGAAGCGTGACTGAGCAGGTCGGGCCGGGACCTGAGACTCCGCGTTTGCGTTTCTCAGGAGGTCGCAGTGGAGGCACCTCTGCTGGTCCAGAGAACGGAGCCACCTCCCTGCCCCAGGCTCAAATTGTGCAGGGGGTCGGGGGGAGAAGAATCACAAAGTTACCCTAGGGAGCCTGGGTTCTGCTCTGTAAACTGAGGCAGAGATGCTGTCCCACCCCATGGCCACCCCGCACCCCAGCCCAGCCAAGCCCCAGGCTGGCAGAACTGAGGGCGCGTGGGCCGAGGGGCGGGGTGGGTCAGCTGAGCATGGACTGAGGGGTCCTGCAAGCCCGCGGAAGCCCAGAACGAGCCAGAGGTTGACGCAGCATGGGGCGGGCCTCGCCACATTCCCCTCCATTGTTCCGGGGGAGAGCGGGTCCCAGAGGGAGTGGGAGGGGAGGAGGAGGGGGAGAGAGGAGTGGGGAGGGAGGAGTGGGGGAAAGAGGAAGGGGGAGGGAAGGGAGGAAGAGCCCAGGGAGTGGGCAGGGGCGGCCAGGCCAGAGCTCCCCTCCCCAGCTACCGGCCCGGGGCCAAACACCCTCGGGGAGGGCCCAGCCCGCCGGGAACAGCTCTCCCGCCCTCCCCGGATTGCTGGGAAGAGGCCGGAAGCCCGAGGACCAGCGTAGCAGGCACCAAGCGGGAGGGGGCGGCCACCGCCGCCTAAGTGCCCCCAGCATCCCGGGACAGCCGTGCCCAGCAGCTGACAGAGGGTCACCCACCGCCACGCCAACGGCCCGGGACCTGCGCCCTCCCCAGCCCCCAGGCGGGCAGCCCGGAGCCCGAGCCCGCGCTCCTAACAAGGACCTGCTCTGTCGCCCCATCCAGTCGAGTTTCCCGCCCGACTCTGCTCTCCACTCCCTCTGTGACCCCTGGCCAGGGACCTCACCGCTCCAGGCCTCAGTTTCCTCATTTGACAAAGGGGAGAGGAATGGTGCTGTGTCCCGGGGCCGCGAGTGTCGACGGTGCCAGCTACAATGCCAGGCACGCGGATAGCCAACAATACTTGTGCGGCGGATGGTGGAACTGCCAGGCATGGGGCCATCTGAAATAATCCTTCCCTCCCATTCCTGCCCATGCTGATGGCACACAAACCAAATGTCCTGACTCTGCCACTTCGCGCGACAAAGCCCGTTCCCCTCCCGAGGGCACCCATCATCCCACCCCAGGACCACCCCACCCCCCGCTGGGCCTATCTGGACTCACTCCACCCCAAAGCATCAATTCCCAGCCCGGATGCGGGACTCAGTTCTTGCCCAGGAAGGGCTCCCAGCACAGTGGGGGAGGGGAACAGACAGGCCGCCCTGGGAGTAGAGGGAGGAGGCTCCGGCCCAGACCCGGGAGAGCTGAGCAGAGTCCGACAGGATCACTTTAAGGGTGGGGAGTCATTCCCGGCAGAGGGACCTGCAGGGGCAGAGAGCCGCTGGAGAAGGTCGTGGGGGAAGACAACAGGAAGCCTGTTGAAAAGTCTGGGACTTGATGACAATGGGGACATCAACGGACGATCTGAAGCCAGGGGCTGATTTGACCCATTGTTTTCACAAGTTCTCTCCGGCTCTGGAGTGGCAAATACATTAACCTCGCAGACTGGGCACAAAGACTGAGAAGTATCAAAACACCAAGTTAAAAAAATAATAGTAACTCACGTTTCTCCCGGCACTGGGCTAGCCGTCTCCTTTTGTTCTCACGCCCCCCGCTTTATGCTAGGAAAAGTTATACCCCCAATCTGCAGATAGGGAAACTGCGGCTCTAAGAGGCCTCCTATTTTGCAGCGAGCATGGAGGCCCCTTCCCCCTGCACACACATGCACTCCAACCCCAGAAAAGCTATACGGCCAGAGGCTTCCTTTTGAAAAATCAAAAAATAATGTTGCATTCGCGGCCTGCAAACCTGGGCCGTCGGCACAGCCCGCGGGGAGGGAACCTGTGGGCGCGGATGAAGTTTTTCTCCTCCGCCCGCGCCCCCCCAGTCCGGGTGCAAACACCGCGGCGAGCGCGCCCCGTGGCTCCTCCCCCCCCAGATGCGGCTAATCGCGCGGCACCCGGACGGCCCCCCTCCCCCCACCCCGCCAGGCCTGGCGACCGTCCCACCGCCGAGCCCACAGCTGGGGCGGCCAGGCCGGGGCGCGGGGGGGGGTCGGCTCCACTCCCCGCCCGCGGCGCCCCCCGCGCCACGAGTCACCCCATTCTGGCTCCAAAAGCGGTGGGAGGGCGGATGGGGGTTTCCCTGCACGCAGAAAACAGGTGGACAGGCGGGAAGTGCCACCCGACGTCCGCCCCAAATCCCTCCAGCTGCTGCCACACCCACCCCTTCCCCCCGGGGAGGAGAAACCCGCGCTCCCCGAACAGGCCACGCGGCTGGGGCATCTCCAAGGGGCCTAGCCCCGGGCCCCTGCCGCCGAGGTTGGGGACCTCGCACGAGGGAGCTGAGCCGGGCAGCGACGGCACAGGAGGCCGGGCCCCGTCCCTGCGGCTCCTGGGGCCTCGGAGCGGGGGCGCTCCCCTCCTGGGGACCCCCCGGAAAGGCTCCCTACCTGGCGACCGCTTCCACTCCACCAGCTGCTGCGCTCCGACTGCGAGACCGAGCTGGGGCGGGGGCGGGGCCCGCGGGGGCGGGGCCCACGAGGAGGGGAGGGGCCCGCGAGGAGGGGGCGCCGTGGCCCCGCCCCCAGGAGCGCCCTGCCAATGAGGCTGCGGGCCGGAGCGGCGCCAGCGGGGCGGGGCGGCGGGACAGCCCGGGCGGGACCTTTGTGTCCGCGGGAGGACGGCGGGAGCGCGGGACGCGGGGCCGGGGCGGGCCTCAGGGTCCGAACACTCCCTGGAAAGTGAGAGACTTGGGGCCTGGCGCTGTGCGGGTCCCTGCCTTGAACACCCGCGGCTTGTCCCGCCCCCACCTCCTTCGGCTCCGGAATCCGGACGAGCCCCCGCTTAAGCAGAAAGAAAGAGATAAAGGAAGGGAGAGACAGAAGGGAAGCACGCAAAAAACAGAAGGGAGGAAAAGGAAAAGAAAAAAAGTGCAAAAACATAAAAAACCAGAAAAACGAGGAGGAGGCCTGTGGGTTTTGTCTGTTTTCTTTTGTCTTTCTTATTTTTTTTTTTTTTTTTTTTGAGACAGAGTCTCGCTCTGTTGCCCGGGCTAGAGTGCCATGGCGTCAGCCTAGCTCACAGCAACCTCAAACTCCTGGGCTCAAGCGATTCTCCTGCCTCAGCCTCCCGAGTAGCTGGGATTACAGCCATGTGCCACCATGCCTGGCTAATTTTTTTCTGTATATTTTTAGCTGTCCAATTAATTTCTTTCTATTTTTGGTAGAGACGGGGGTCTCGCTCTTGCTCAGGCTGGTCTCGAACTCCTGACCTTGAGCGATCCACCCGCCTCGGCCTCCCAGAGTGCTAGGATTACAGGCGTGAGACACTGTGCCCGGCCTGTCTTTATTTTTTTTTTAATTTTTATTTCCATCCCTCCTCGTATCCTGTGTTTCTGGATGTCCATGATGTTACTTCTATTTTACAGAAGGGGAAACTGAGGCACAGAGAGAGAGGTGAGCGACCCACAGTCTCAGCAAGTCCAGAGCAGCCCCTGACTGATAGTGGGGCCGCCTCTGTGGGAGACAGTCTGGGGGCTCCTCAAACCGCTAACCACGCAGTCACCTACCACTCAGCAGTTCCCCTCCTGGGCACATACATACCCAAGAGAAATGAAAATATTTGTCCCACGAAAACTTACTGGCACAAAGATGTTTATAGCAGTGTTACTCATAACAGCCAAGAGGTAGAAGCAACTCAGATGTCCATTGCGTGATGATGGATAAACAAAATGTGTGTCTGCACAATAAACAGTGGCTCGGTCATGAGAAGCAACGAAGTATTGATGTGTGCAAGGGTGGGGATGAACCGTGCAAACATGCTGAGTGGGAAAGGCAGACACAAAAGGCCACGTGTTGTATGATTCCATCTGTGTGAAATATCCAGGATAGGCAAATCCACAGAGACAGAAAGTTGGGACAGAAACACAGATTAGTGTTTGCTTAGAGCTGGGCGTCGGTCGCGGTGGGGGTTAGGAGGTTGATAGCTAAAAGCGTACAGGGTTTTTTTAGAAGTGACAAACATGTTCTGAAATTGACGTGGTGGTAGTTGCACAACTCTGAATATTCTAAAAACCGTTGACTCATAGGCCTTCAATGCGTGAATTGTACAGTGTGTGGATCTGACTCAATAAAGCTGTTTATAAAAAGTCAGGAAGTGGGGACCTGAGGTGGGGGTGTGACCAGAAGGACACAGGTGGGATTCAAGGACCTAGGAAAGTTCTGCCTCTCGAGCTGGGTCTGGGGACACAGGTGGGTTCACTTTATGAAAATCCATCCAGCCATGGTGACCTGGGTTATTCTTTAATAATACAGTTTTTTCAAAGGCCTGGCAGAACCACGGAGTCCTACCTCCCCATTTTTCAGAAAAGAAAAGTGACATGAAAGAAAAGTGGAAATATTTTCCCCTGAATTACACTGGGGCCTGAAAACTGCCTCTAGGCCTCTCGGTTCCACTGTTCACAGTCAGGGACTGTCCCCTCCTCCGAGGAGCTCCTGGTGCTTCCTGGTGCGGCACGAGCTCCCGTGGTGGGACAGAGTCTGACGGTGCAGCCTGGGAGGGGAGTGAGTTCCCCAAACTCCGGCCTGTGCTGTGCTGCCTGTCCCCCCAATGCCCCTCTGTCCTCCCAGCCCGGTGTCTCAGGGACACCTGTCCCCAAGAGGGGACAGGCCGGGGGCCTAGTGGATGACTCCATTTCTCCTCCTGTGAAATGACACGGGAAGACCCTCCAGTCAAGAGGAGCTAGGAACTCCTCCTGGGCAGGTGGGGGGCCGTGGAGGGCTGCCGCCTCCCTCCTCCGCCCCTCCCGCAGCTCTGGCCGGACCTGCTCAGAGCTGGGGCCCAGGGAGGCCAGCTGAGCCTGCAGGCTCCAGGGGGCTAAAGGTGGACCCAGGAGCCAGCCTGCATGAGCACATCCCTCCCACGGGGACACAGACACACCGACAGACAGACACACAGCCCACCGGAGATGCACGGAGATGCGCATGCGCACACACACACACACACACACACACAGACACACACAGATACTGCCACATACAGACCCACATCCCACACAAACACCACACAAACGAGACATTCAGGGACACACACCCATCCACACACCTCAAGCAGGCAGGCGAGAAACACACACACCACACACTCACACAGTGAGACGTACACACATGCACAGACACAGACAGGCAGACAGACATGACAAGTGACAGGTACAGCCCGACCCAAGGTGCATGGAGAGACACACACCCGTCACACAATAGTCCCTACGCACAAACCTGCATCTCTCACAAACCCTCACAGTGATGAGACACACACCATGTACACACCCCAGCAGGCAAAACGCGCACACACACACACACACACACACCCACCACACACAAATCCCCCACAGACACACCCCCCACCCCGCATGAACTCACGCAGGTGGAAACATGCACAACCGCACTCTCCCTCCACACTCCTTCCTGGTCTAGAAAGGACCCGCCCTCCTCCACCAGGCAGGCCTCCAGGAAGCTGCTGGGGAAGAAGCGGCCCTGACAGCCCATCCCTTCAGGGGGAGGGCATCCACCCCTGCTGGGAGAGAGAATTCCACCCCCATGGGTTGGGGTGGGGGCGGCACCTGCGGCAGGCAGGCGTCCTCTCCTCACCACCAGCTGGGAGGAAGAGAAGGCGGTAGGGTGGTTGGTGGCGCAGGAAATTCAACCCAGAGTGGTTGCGGACAGGCCAGGATGGCCCAGCAGGCCCTGCCCCAGGGCTTCAGGGTCCCGGTGCTGACAGGGCAGAGGGGACCCCATTGCTGAGCGGGAGGAGGCGGCGGGGAAGGGAGGCTCTGGGGGCAGCCAGCCCCTCCCCAGGCAGGAATGGGCAGCTCCTGTGGCTGCCCCCTCCCCGGGCACCTCCAGGGCCGGCCCCCACACGGTTTGTGCAACGACTACAGTTGCAAGGCATTCCTCCAATTCCTTCCATGTCATCTTCTCAAGGCCTCGGTGCCCAAGCTGGGCCCTTCTGGGAAGAGAGGAAGAGCAGGAAGGAAAAAAGTCCCGTCTCCCTCTCCCTGGCTGCAGAGTCTTCCTGATTGCACGCAAAGAAAGCATAGCTCAGAGAGGGTAGAGTAAGCTGCCCAGAGTCACACAGCAGGAGAGGGACCAGGTAGCCTCCCCAGACCCCCAGTTGCCAAAACTCCAGGCTGATTCCATTCCTGGGGTGGCCTGCCCTGCCCTGGCCTCCCTGGCTGCACTGGTTGAGTTATTGTCACGGTGATTGTTGTCATTCATTGCTAACTCACTGCAAGTTTCTATGTCCCAGGCACAGAGCTGAGTGATTCATGTGGATTTTTCATTCATCATTCATTTAACAATCTTTATTGAGCATCTACTACATGCTAGGTACTGTGCTAGGTACTGGGAAGACAGCTGTGAACAACATTGAGATCCCTACTGTCAAGGAGCTGACATTTTAGGGGAGGCTGATCAGTTAGACTAATATCAGAGCAGGTTAATTCCAGAAGGTAACTGTTGTCAAAATGGAACCAGGTGATATAATAGAGGTGGCCAACAAAGGGGCCACAGTTCCCTCCCTGAGAAAATGACAATGAAAATGAGCCATTGGGTATCTCAGTATCTCCGGGAAGAGATTCCTGGCAGCAGGAATGGCAAGTGCAAAGGCCCGGGGGCTGGAATGGAACAGAAAATAGACATATGTGAAGGATCAGCCCGTGGGGGAAGACTGCCTCACTGAATTTACGTAACATTCTCAGCAGAAGGTGTTAGTAGACCCATTTTGCAGTGGAGGAAACTGAGGCTTAGAGAGGTGAAGATGCCTGCCTGGGTCACAGAGCTGG